CCCCAAAACCCCAAAACCCCAAAACCCCAAAACCCCAAACGTTCATCACTTGGTTGAATAAATACTGGTGAACGAGTTTTAGACGAAAAATCAATTTATTCAAAAATTTATAAGCTTAATGAAAAGGGTTCCTCTGAAGAATCATCCTGGCAAAAATAATCTTTGATAGGGCAACGAGAAGAATCTATTTCGTATGTTTCAAGATTTTCAATGTTCGAAAATTTATTACTCTCCGATAGCTCTTTTTCGATAATTTCAATTTCATCATCAATACAAAGTTTATCATTATCAACTGTAGTTTCACCAACTCATTTAATATGACTATTATTTTGGCTAAGTATATCATTAGCTTTCTGCTCACTAATACCACAATCCTTAACAATAATTTGTTCTAATGAATTCTGAAGTTGTCAAGTCATTATTCCTTTGACAAGATTAACGAACCCTTTATCATTAGTCTTCCAATTTTGCTCATCTTTATCCTTACAATGCAGGAATTCCAAAAATTTTATTTTATATTCCATATATATTTCTTCTCGGTTCCCTGAATTGATAACATCTCTTCCTTCAAGCACGAGGGGATCGTTAGGAAGGATTCATTGTGAAAATGACAGAGTTTCAATCTTAAAACACCTTTTAAAGGTGAGCTCTAGTTGTCCCTTTCCTAGCTTGAGCCCATTGAGGTAAACAGCTTTCTGGACCCTATCAAATCATTTGAGCAACTCAAATTGATAGAACCCAAAGTCTTTTCAAACATATCTCGGTGAAATATCGAAATGCAACTCTTTAATATTTTTCGGCATGTGATCGATTAAGAAATCTTTAACAATAATGTCCTTTGGGTCTCTCATAGAAATAATTTTGATTCAATCCATGTCCGGGATCCTTCTTCTCCCAGTAGCTTTTTCTCTTTTTAAGGCATAAATCATGTCCATCGTGTCTACTGTCTTAAAATCGAGGATAAAAGTTCTAGGATCATCATTAACCCCGATTGTCATTTTATGATTTCTAACAAGACTGACGAGTTGTTCTAAAGTCTCTTGAGATATTAAATCCTTTTCTATCGGCTTGACCTTCCTCATACTCATTCTTGTCTCTTTATCTATTGAACTTACTCCACAACCCATTGTATTTTCTATTAAATGATCCCTTATAGGGGTTTTGGGGTTTTGGGGTTTTGGGGTTTTGGGG